TGGGCCAAAGCTTTTCTGTACATAGGCAGCCTTGCTATGTCAACACGTCCACAGCTGAAATTCTACTGCTTCGGTGGATTCTGGATGCTTCGTAGCCTCTTTTTCGCTCGCAACCCACCCTTTTCGGTTGCCTTACTCCTCGGCATGTCCCTCAAGACGGGGCGGCGGTGGAAACGGCTCCGCCTGGCTCCGGTCCAGGTGAATGGCTGTGGACCCCGTGAGGGCCAAAATGCAAACCACCAGCACCAGCAGCATCACCAGCGCAGAACCTGGGATCTCTGGTTCACAGCGATGGGAGGGATCGAGCCACCGACCAACCCGTGGTCCGACAACCAACCTCTATCCTTCTATTTGGATTGTCGGTCCAACCAACCAAAGATAAATTCCATCCACCGATCTATGCAGCATAGCATATCGATGTTTGATTCCTGCTGCTAAGCCAGGGCAACGTGTCATAGTTGAGCCATGAGGTGCTTTGTTCTAACCCAAGCCCGCAATACAGGTGGCCACCCACTCATTGACCAACAAATTACCTTACTATGCAACTCCAAAATGAAGCAGGACCCCAGGGTAATTACCTTACAAAACCAAGCAACTGACTGAGAGGTCCTGACTTTTCTGGAGGATCATATGCTATATCTGAGGGGACAAGGCAAGGCAAAGCAGGCCAATCAAAAAACTCGGACACTTCATGATCCCAAACGGTCCGTTCGGTGGATCCAGAATGGTAACTTGGTCTTTTCAACCGCAAGTTGATGATTCTCCTCCTCCTCCTCCTCCGGTCAAATGAACTCAATGTGAATGACTCTGCTCTTGTGGGAGTTTCTCGGCCACCCAAACAATCTTCCCGAGTGCTGCTCCAGAAGGCACACAGGTGATGTGACCAAACGGGACCACCACCTCCATGTGGCTCGCAGTGCGGCTCGCTATCGGACATTTCTGGGGAGGGAACAGGTTTCCCAACACATCAGCATACATTGTATATCAATGTATATCACACAAGATCACACAAGAATGTTTTCAACATCTTTGGATACTTGAGCAGGGCTTCTTCAGGAGATCCGTTCATTTTATTGTGAATCCAGCCGCAAACAGTAATGAACAAAACCACCAATTCGGGACAGGGGTTTGTCTGTACACGCGGAAATCGGATCGTCTGTACACGCGGTGATGGGGATCGTCTGTACACGCGGGGATCGTTTGTATACGCGGTTTCCATATGCGGGGTGCCTAAACAGTGTGGCCATACTTTGGGTTCTTTTGGTAGGTGCAAAGGCCGGGTGTTGATCCAGGGTGCTCAGATGCGTGTGAGCCCCCACCCCTCCGCACCCCAACCCCACCCCACCCACCACCGCACCCTTACTGTAACATTGCATGGGATATTAGATATGAATGCTAGTCGAAGTGAACGTCATTAGCCCCACCCCACCCCACCCCACCCCATGTGCCCTGTGTGCGCAGATGATCCAGATTTGTGTGCGCAGATGATCCAGATCTGTGTGCGCAGATGATCCTGGCTGTGTACGCAGATGATCCTGATCTGTGTGCGTAGATGATCCCCTGTCCACCAATTCGCACGGCTGTGGCCGCATCAAAGGAGGTCCACGTCCGACAAAAGTGACCACATTCGCCTCACTGACCCGCTCCACCATCTCCCAGCATACATCAAACACCCCATGATTATACCATCAACTTCCCTATCTTTCCGTCCATCCTCATTCCCTGCGTACTCCCTTGCATTCCCTCCCAAAACCCTCAGCCTTCAGCAGGGCCCCAAAGGGCGCCGCTGAGTCGAAACGCCCCGTCTCACGCTCCGTCTCGCTCCGTACTGTGTCCGATCTGGGACGCCGCTCGACGCCTCCAAAAGGTGGAGATGTTCTGCTCCGCCGCCTCCGAGCGCAGCCGTTGCACCTCCATGGCGCGCCGCCGCCGCGAACGCTTGGGGCTGTAGCCCACCTGGCCGGTGGAATTGCATAGGACCAAAAGCATGGAAAGATGGATTGGTGCCGGGATGCTAGGGAAGTTGCACAAGAGGGAGCGATTCTGAAGATCTGGCGATTTTGAAGAGCAGGGTTTCAATGTCGCGCATGGTCCCAGCTACAAAGCCGAAAGACCGAAAGACCTTTCTCGAGGCTGCTCATGATCCCGAAGGAAGGCCAAAACCTTTTGCTGAACCAAACCTGCAAGGAAGATGTCCTGGGCCACAGCATTGAAGAAAGCAGCTGCAGCTCCTAGGTCCTAGAAATGGCCCTCTCTCTCCACCCCCCAAAGCACGGACACCAATGCTACACACCGTCGTACCCTACCCGTTGTACCCATCGTCTGCTTCCACCTCCGGGTCCGAGGAGTCGGACGAGAGCTCGGGATCCTCGGGTGGGACACGAGATGATGCATGCTGCACACACACGTATACGTATCTTTATATGTATATATATATACACACTGTATCTATATATATCTACAATTATATACATACATAGATGACACAAGAGATGGCACATCTTTCATGTCATCGTCTGTTCATGTCCTTTCCATCATCTTTTTCTTTGCTTGTTTTTTGTGTGCAGGAAGGACATTGCACATCGGTTCAGTGTGTTCACATGGGTTCAGTCACTTCTCCCAGCGATTCGAGCTCGCGTGGATTGGGACCAGTTCTGGTGGAACAGGACCACGAAGGCCATCGGTTCAGGATGGAAAGACAATGGGGTCCTGGTGCAACCAATGGGGTCCAGGCTGGTAATTACGACTCAACTTGTGGTCAGTGAGCGGATGAATTGTAAACCAATGTGGTGGGATCTGCTGTCTAGTAGTGGGTATGGTAGTCGCAGCAATCAACCTTTCCAAAACTGGCCACACCAATCACCGGAGAGCCCGAACAGCTCATCTGCACATGTCAATGATCAACTTCTGTGATTGGTGGAAGGAGGGCCAGCCGAGGAAACAATCATACGTTGTTCCCCCATCTGCCAAACTTGGGTGGCGAAGGCTTTATGTATATTATATCATGATCATGGGCCATGTCGCACCGTACAACCAAACCGCTACTGTGCTGGTTTTCAGCATGGACCACCAGGTTGTGAAGCAAACAAAACAAGAGACTACTCTTAGAAAAAGAACAACCTACCATCACCTACCCCAGAGAATGAAGACTGAAAAGACGATTTCCTTTGGCCATTGGTTTGAGATTTGGTTCCACCATGTTCCACTTCTTCGGCTCTTGGGGAAGCGCGGCATTCTCCTTCACCCAGTCGCCCAACGCCTTCTGCCCAAGATGCAGAGCTGTCGTAACTGATGGCCCGGCTTTGGCGCCTGTAGCCCCTGCGCAGCGAACCCACCGAGGCACGGCAAATTTTTGAAGCCCATATTTTTTGGGATGGAAGACAGGTACCATGCAGGAAGCATCCCAAGTGTTACCAAGATGAGACCTTTGTCAAACACTGCCTTGGATGTACAGAAGCTGGTCTTGGTGAGGATGTGGTTTGATCAGTTTGATCTCACAAGTTCAAATGAGACGGGTCATTCCCCAGCTTCCTGACGATCAACAAATCAAGGAGTGGCCAGTCCACAAAGTGAACTCCAGTAACCCCTTCAACTGACCAACCAGGGAATGCTTTGCACCGTTCTTGTCACAAAGATTCACAAAGAACCCAATGTGAAGCTTTCCCCCTAGTCTTCACATCCCCAAACGATCGGTCCGCGATTTCCAAGGCCCAACTGAGGCCTGTCACAGGGGAAAACCATCGTTGATTCCAGCAAGCTGTCCTGCTCGCGTGCCATTCATGCCGAAGCCACACAAGAGGCCACACAAGTCAAGAGAGGCTGCGAAACTGGCCTTTCCCTCTCCAAAAGGCGCATCCAAAAACAGAAAAAACCACACATGATAAAACATGGAACTGCAATGGCCCAGCGAATCGGGTCGGGCGATTCACACATGTTCTTTTCGTGGAGTGTGGCGCGCTCTCCAGCCATTCAGTCACCCTCATCCGGACACTGCCCAGTCTTGGAAAGCGGGTCCGATATTTCTTCTGTGGTGCCGTGGGGCTTCACATAGGGTCCCACCTCTTGACTCTCTGGCACAAAATTCATCAGATCCCAAACGCACTCCTAAAAAGGGTGGAACCTGTAAGAACCACCAGCCGGTGGTCTGAATAGGGGTTCAACAGCTACTGGGTTGTGGCGGACGACACTGACAAAACATGACAAAACTGTCCTTGCCATTGGCTTCTGCCCGCTCATCCCCATTCTCCTGGGTCAAATGGAAAATGATGGGACATCGGTAGTGGGTAGCAAGGTTCTGACATGTTCTGACACTTGCTACACTGCTACAAGTTCCCAATAGCACTTTATCCCAGGTCACATTCCAACTTTGTACCGCATCTGCTGAAACGGGAGGTGGGCTAGCCGAACACTCAGCAGAACCGTACAGTTGGTCCTGTCGCTCTTCTCAGACGACACGCACATTTTAGTCCACCAGGTACAGTAGTAAGTGCGTGTTAATGGTCAGGGTGCAGGAGTGTAGTGGATGAAGGTCTGCCGACAATTTTAGCCCTTTAATACCCTTTATGCCTATTTCATACTCGGACGACCTGACAATGACCATCGACCTCGCGGTTGCCGTCAGATAGAGAGCTCTTCATGGTCCAAAAGATTTGGACAAACAGCAACATCAAGCACAACCCTGTGGATGGTGAACAGAATACCAGCAAAAGTGCGTATGGTCGCTAGTGGCTGCCTATTTGGGCATCCACACCATTCCACACATTGACACACCATGGCCATGCCCTCACTGCCCTCGCCGTTTTTCCTCGCTAGGCGCTGGCTTGCTACCCGAAGAGACGAGACGAAGTGGAGAAGGATTGTCGGGCCGCGGTGCGCTGCAGCCGACTCCCATCGGTTTCAACCTTCTGGGAACTTGGAGGTCTTGATCTGTGCGGATCAAGTTGGATCAGCGGGGTCATCCATGCCCCTTGAATGCTAGGAAACTCGAATAATTCACTGCAAAAAAAGTCATGACACATCATCCCTCCAATATTTACCACCGCCTTCGCCTGCAACGAAGTTCCCCCCACTGCCGTTGCTTGCGACAGATCTGCGTGGGGTGTCTGCACAATGGCTCTAGGATGCTGGTGGATCAAATATGATCAAATCTATAAAACTGATGCTTTCAGGCCTTTGAAACAGGCGAATCTGCCAGCAAGCATCTGGCCATTGTCGCAAAGGCACCCGGAGTGCTCCCCAGAGGTGTCCGTTGACAACCGTACGTTGAGTGGAAAAGAATTGAGTATGATTGAATCCATCAGCAGCACCTCCTTCATCGCTTTTTCTCGATGACCCACCAAATCTCTGAACAACTCAGTTGAAAGATGGTGGGACTTTTGCCCACTCAAAGCAACAGGCCTGCAAGACCAATTGCTATGAAGGTTTGTACCTTCACAGCTCCTCCTTCGAACGCACTCCCTTCCCTTCCGATGTCGAAGTAGCGCTCAGTGCGGGGAACTCGTAGCCAACGGCGATGAGGTCACGGATCCAGGCTTGTGCCAGCCTGCCACAGGAAATTGGAGAAGCGCTTTCTTTCTGCTCAGGATTGGAAGGTAGGAACTCCTCAATTTATCTTGCTGCTCTGGATGCGGAAATGGCCAGTGTGGGTGGCCAATGGCCGAATGACCATCTCCAAGTGTCCACCATTCACTTGCGACGACCGTTTGCCGATCACTTGCGACGAACACCAGCATCATAGGTGGGGTGGGGTGGGCTGGGGTATGTTCAAAACCACTTCCAAACCTGCACACGTTCCTCATCACCATCAGCATGGGTGGGGTGGGTTGGGGTATGCTAACGTTCAAAGCCACTCACGATCCTCATCACCATCAGCATGGGTGCCTGAACATACGGAACATAGGTTTCAACAGGGAGCCGGGGATAAGGGGGGAGGGGGTACAGTATCCTTGAAAGACCCAAAACAAGTTTTTGGACCATGTGGGCACACAGCTAGTGAAATCATTGTATTGTGCGTCTTGTTCTACCAATTGAACAACACTTAACTACTCTTGAGCCGAAGAAAAAACGACCAAATTAGCGTCACAAGCGAACGCCTCACCAAATCCAAGGGATGGCCCCAAGAAGGGCTGATGCCCTTCGCTCGCTCAAAACAAGCTGAGGCTGAGGCCAGACTTCGTTTCGCAGAAGAACATAGAATCCCACTTTCAAAAGCCACCTCTTCAACGACACTCCGCTCCAGTCCGCCTCCTCTGCCCAAACACGTCACCCGTTCCTGCCTCAAATCGCCCAGCTCGACGAAGTGTCTCGCATAAAGCTCAGCCCAAAGCTCTTCGAGGCGTTCCAGCAGTGAGGGCGCCGAGGAACTCCACCGCGACAGGAACTCCACCATGGCCTTGCTGGACCGATCGGACTGTGGACTGCACTGGACGTCGCCGCACTTGTCGTCCGAGTAAGTCAACCCGGGGGGGGGGGGGTTCGGGTTAGGGATGGCAAAAGACAGGTCTTTCTTCAGCCGAGCTGCAGTGGATTTCAGCTGCAAATCGCCTTCGCTTTGGAAGTCTTTCCTCATTCGCGGCAGCACTGTTTGCATTGTTTGCATCACTCGATATGAGGCCAGGGCCAATGGCACCTTGGGAACCTAATGCGAGCAAGACAGCCACTGGATGGTGGTTAAAACCATTCCCAAAACTATCGGTCAATTTGGGTAGTCATTCCCCAAATAGGGTTGACAAGTAAAAAGTAAATGAACATAAATGAAAGCACCAACCAGGCCATTCGTGGAAGAGCCTACCAGTATCATTAATAGAAATCACGCAACCTGACCACCACACCCTTCGGATGTGTATCAGATTCCGTCTGACTACCGTACACCTAAGACATAACCTGATCGTGACCTAACTATGCTTTTCAAAACCGCCCGCTTCCACAACACGAGTGCCCATACGCTTGAATCTTCCGAAGTCTCAAATAGTCGTGCGCCACCCGATCATGCACCACGTGCGCCGGAGTGAAGGTGATCACTTGCCCCACATCCCACAGCAACTTCTGCGTGAGGTAGGCGCGCCAGATGTCCGAGACCCGCCCATGGACGGTGACCGGCAGCAGCAAACCCCAGAAGGCGTCGTAGAGGTGCACCGTCGCTTGAGCGTTGTAAGGCGTAAAGGACCTGCGTTGCTTCACCGTTGTGGGGCTTCTTTCTTCCGCGACGGACATCACGGTGGTTTTAACAAGGACGGGTCTCGCCAGGCAGGACAAAGGCTCATGTTCTGCTGCTCTCTGCACCTCTGCACCCAACTCAAATCAACCGATCAAACGCTGAAAAGCCGGTCTCTCACCGCATTGCCGGTCCCTCACCGCGATCACCCCCTCTGCCACACCCACCCTGCACCGAGCCTGGGTGGAATGGCCATCACCGGAGGTAAAGCTTCATCCAAGCCCGCAAAGCTACAAGGTAACCTAAAGCCACGGAGGACCACAAACAAGTCACATGGTCACTAGTCACTAGCGTCACTAGAGATCATGAGAGCTTGACTACGACTTGACCACCAAACCGACTACACTATCTACACTACACTTCCTCAAACAAACAGCAAGTAACATATCGCACCCACATATGGCTCAAACAGTCTGGAACAGGACCTTTCAATCCACACATGTGACGGTGTGACCTGTTTTGGGACCGGGGAATATCTGGATGAGCGCAACAACAACCACGACGACACCACCAACAACAACAACAACAACAACAACAACAACAACCACAACCACAACCACAACCACAACCACAACCACAACCACAAC